GCTTTATAAACATTGATTTAATAAATAAATGTTTATTTTATAAGAATATATAGGTTATAAGAATATATAGCTGAGTTCCTTCCTTGTTACAGCAACGTAGTATTCCATTTGCAACAGCATGGATGGACCTGGAGAACATTATGCTAAGCGGAATAAGCCAGTTGGAGAAAGATAAATATCACGTGATCTCACTCATTTGTGGAATATAATGAACAACATAAACTGATGAACAAAAATAGACCAAGAGACAGAAGCATCAAACAGACCATCAAACCTCAGAGGGAAGGCAGGGGAGGGTAAGAGAAGGGGGTAGAGATCAACCACAGGACTTATATGCATGCATATAAGCATAACTAGTAGACATGGACATAGGGTTGGGGGCGCATGTGCTGAAGGGTGGGAGTGGGAGTGGCTGGGGAAGGGTCAATGAGGGGAAAAGGAGACATATGTAATACTTTCAACAATAAAGAATTTTTTTAAGGCCATCTACAGGGGAGGGGACAGACTAATAGGGGTCAATGGGGGACAAAGGGGACATATGTAATACTTTCAACAGTAAAGATTTAATTAAAATATATATTGTGTTTCAACACTTTTAAAAATTAAATTAATCAAATAATGCCGAAACCGGTTTGGCTCAGCGGATAGCGCGTCGGCCTGCGGACTGAAGGGTCACAGGTTCGATTCCGGTCAAGGGCATGTACCTGGGGTGCGGGCACATCCCCAGTAGGGGGGGGGGCAGCATGTGCTGAAGGGTGGGAGTGGGAGTGGCTGGGGGAGGGGCAATGAGGGGGAAAGGAGACATATGTAATACTTTCAACAATAAAGAATTTTTTTAAGGCCATCTACAGGGGAGGGGACAGACTAATAGGGGTCAATGGGGGACAAAGGGGACATATGTAATACTTTCAACAGTAAAGATTTAATTAAAATATATATTGTGTTTCGACACTTTTAAAAATTAAATTAATCAAATAATCAATGATATAAAGACATCTCCATAGAAACCCTTTTCTCCAAATATTTGAATTGCAGATGTTTAATCGATGACAATGAACTCCTAGGACTCCATAGTAACAGAGGAGACTGTGAGCAAGAAGCATGTTCAGTACTCTTGGAAATGACAAAGGAAACAAGAACCAAGAGTATAAACTATTGTACTTTAAGTGCTAAATTAAGCAAAACATGCATACAGGCAATCAAGTACTGAAAATGATTAGGTCCTATCTCAGGAATAAAAATCTACCTTGTATTCTTTTCACAAAATAGACCCATAATACCCAGAAGAAAATGAATGTCTTCCTTTTTAAAAATCTACTCAAACAGAGAAAATTTTGCAACATTACTTATGTGATTATTTTGTAGTTTTCAACATAATAGGATAAAAATAAACAAATAATTCATAGAACTATTAGTAATATTACTTACTCTTGATCCAAAATAAATTAGAGTAAAGATATATTGCAATTATGGAGGAGTGTTGCATGGTGGTCACAATATTAGGAATTGTACCAGAATCACAATTTTGGCCCTGGAATTTATTTCTAAGAGGATATTTGTTCACTCTAGCCTCTATTTCTTTGTATATAAGTGGATTTCATAATTATACCTATTTGATAGTCTTGTCAGAATTAAATATATTAAAATGTATTTAACCTTAGTTCTTTAACTCACACAAAATACTCTCAATTCAAAAAAAAATTTATTGCCTGCCCAGTGTGACTCAGTTGGTTAAGCATCCCATGCACCAACAGGTCACCAGTTTAATTCCTGGTCAGGGCACATGCCTGGGATGTGGGCTTAATCCACAGTAGGGGGTGTGCAGGAGGCAGCTGATTAATGTTTTTTTCTCATTAATGTTTCTATTTCTCCTTTTCCCCCTCCCTTCCTTTTTCTCTAAAATCAATAACAACATATTAATTAAAAAATAGTTATTGCTGTGGCTATCTGACAGTCATCTGAGAATTTATGATTATTTTACTCCAAGATCAAGAACTACAATACAGTTGAGAAGATGACTGTAAAACTTGCTGAATTGGTAGGAACCTGAGGACAAATCTCTACAAACCAATTTATTACTCCCAAACTAAGAGATTCTGAATTAAGCTTGAAATATCCTATCTAATAATAGAGAAACATGGTAATTAACCGTAACTTCGCTACCCTTCCCATTGGCTAATCAGCGAAATATGCAAATTAACTGCCAACCAAGATGGCAGCCGGCAGCCATGCAGCCTAAACGAACAGGAGGCTTGTTTGCCCCAGCGATGGAGGAAGCCAAGGTTCCCCGCCTGCGGCTGCCCAGCTCTGAGCTCCTGAGGCAACAGCTCCAAAAGATACAATGTTTCAATTATAGAAGCTAAAAGATGGCGGTTAATTTGCATAAGCAGGCTCCAAGCGGTAGAGTGAAGCCAAACAGCCCTGAAGCCGCAGAGCAGAGAGGCCTCACTGCCAGGGGATCAGCAGAGCCGGGAGGCCTCAGGGCCCCGGGATCAGCGGAGCTGAGAGGCATCCTGGGCCCGGGATCAGTGGAGCCTGATGGTGCAGAGGTCCTGTCCTAGGCAGAGGCGGGATCGGCAGAGCTGAGAGGCATCCTGGGCCCGGGATCAGCGGAACCTGATGGTGCAGAGGTCCTGTCCTAGGCAGAGGCCAATGGCGTAACTTCCGACTCCCAAGAAGCGGCCTGGGGGCTGGAAGGCGGCTCCTCTGACCTCAGGGCTGGAGTCCCACCGCTCCACCAGGAGAGGAGCAGAGAAAGGCCGGAGCCTCCCTCAAGGTGATCCGAAACCCCCACCCACACCAGGCAGGCTGCTGGGACTGTTCGTGGAGGACTCACCTCCAAGCCCAGCCTTTGGCCCTGCCACAGCCATGGCACTCCTGGGTGCAGGCCCCAGCGGGACATGGGGTGGCAGGGGGGGCGCCTTGAGTCCTGGGCTCCTTGCCTGCCTTCCACAGCTTCCTCCTGCTTCAGGGCCTTGCCCTCCAGTCTCCTCCTCAACCCCCGTGCCCAGAGCAGCGGACCCACCGAGGGAGCTCCCCACTGGCCAAGGTGGTGAATGAAGCTGCGGGGACTCCCAGGTGAAGGGTCGCCCTGGGGAGGAGTCCCGACACCTCCATGACCCGCTCCCAAGATCGCGTGTCTGCACCGCGGGCTGTGGGGCAGCGTGATGGCGCTGATGGTGGAGAAGGCGCTGCCCACACCGGCGCTGCTGCAGCCTGGGACCTCCTCAAAAGCTTCCAGATGTTCGGCTCACTCCTCAAGCCCTACATCTGCATGGAGGAGGAGGGCTGCATGGAGTACACGTGCAGCCTGATGCGACAATGAACTCTTCCAGGCCTACCTGACGTGGGCCGAGAAGCACCAGCAGTGCCAGCGGCTGAAGCTGAGCGACATGCTCGCCAAGCCCCACCAGCGCCTCACCAAGTACCCGCTGCTGCTCAAGTGGTGCTGAGGGAGAGGGACGAGCCACGTCCCAAGGAGGCCGTCATCACCATGATCAGCTCCGTGGAGCGCTTCATCCACCACATGAACGCGTGCATGCGGCAGCGACAGGAGCGGCAGCAGCTGGCTGCCGTGGTGAGCAGCATGGATGCCTACGGAGTGGTAGAGGGTAGCAACGACAAGGTGGACAAGCTCCTGAAGGAGTTTCTGCACCTGGACCTGACCGGGCCCGTCCCTGGTGCCTCCCTGGAGGAGACGCGTCAGCTGCTGTTGGAGGGCAGCCTGAGGATGAAGGAGGGAAAGGACAGCAAGATGGATGTGTACTGCTTCCTCTTCATGGACCTACTCTTAGTGACCAAGGCAGTGAAGAAGGCTGAGAGGACCAAGGTCATCAGGCCACCACTCCCCCTTCAGCTCCCAGTCAGACGAGATGTCTCTCAGTATGACCACCTCATCTGCCACACCGACCAGCGAGCTGCTGGCCCTCGGCCCTGGGGACGGAAGCTCCTGCTCCATGGACTCCGCCTACGGCACCCTCTCCTCCACCTCCTTGCAAGACTTTGCGACCACAGCCCCTGTGGTGGAGCCAGCGCCCCAGCCCCTAGATTTACCACAGGCCCCTTCACCCCCGCCCTCTCCCTGCCACCACTGCCACACCCCTGTCCAGCTGCTGCCCCGCCTGCCCCACCTGCTCAAGTCCAAATCTGAGGCCAGCCTCCTGCAGCTGCTGGCAGGGGCGCCACAGCCATTGGCACATCAGGACCACCCTGCTGCTTAACTCCCAGGCCCTGAGCACAGTGTGGAGCCGCCATGCCTGGAGGGCGGGGTTCGGGATGGGTGCACGTGTGCCTAGTGCAGCGGGACTTGCTGGGGAGCAGTCCGCCTTCACGGGTGGGCGTCAGGCCCGGCGCCCAATGCAGAAAGGCCACAGTGCGGCCACCAGGCCCTGAAGGCTGCCCTGAAAGCCACACAAAGACAACCTACTGCTGGAGGGCAGGCATGTGGTGCTTCGGGAAGATTCCGGAGGTAGGGAAGGAAGGTCATGGAAGGGAACAATTGCAAGCAGAGATCCCGAAGGTTCTGAAAGCAGAGGACCAGCTCCTTGCAGACCTGAACTCTGTGTGGGCCTCTTTATCGGCCCTGGCGGTGGGAGACACAGGAGGAGGTGATGGACCGGGGCTGTGCCCAAGGAAGACTTGGAGGAAGCAACGTGTGGACAGGGCCGGGCAGAGCAGGCAGGTCCGTGCAGAACCCGCTGGAGCGTAGTCAGGCCCCAAGGCGACCACCAACCCAGGCCACAGGGAGAAGCGAGCAGATGCCACTCCACTCACTGGAGAAGACCATTAAGCACAAAACTAAAGAAACCGATTTTACATCATTTCCCAGGTGGAGAACAGTTGGCGTGTAAGCCCCTGCCCAGTGCCCAGCCGCTCCTCTGTCTATCTCACTCTTAGGTACCATGTTCTTTGTTCTCTCTTAACTGCAACTCATTTTTAAACTAGATCGCTTTTAAAAGAAGACTAAATAGAGTTTCCCTTAAGTTATTTAGGCGGTGCTGGGGCTGCTGGGGCCTGATAGAAGACACAAATACGTGGGGGTGGGGGGCTGTGCCCAGCAGCGCCAAGGCCCACCACCTTGGTGCTGGGGCTGCTGGGGCCCTGATCAAAGACACAGATCCGCAGCCCCAGCACCCAGCAGCCCCAAGCCCTGCCATCAAGGTGCTGGGGCTGCTGGGGGCATCAGAGACACAAACCCGCAGGCCTGGAACCCAGCAGACCCAGGGCCTTCGCGGCAGCGCTAAGGAGCAGCAAGCTGAGCAGTAGGAAGCAGCAAGCAGGTGGGCAGTAAGGAGGGAGGGGTCTGGGGCTGTGAGAGGGCACATGCTGGGCTAAAGGACCCACTACCCATCCCCAGTGCATGAATTTCGTGCACCGGGCCTCTAGTAAAATATATAAAAGCTTGAGCCTGCTGAGCATAGCCATAGAAAGTTTATGAATTAAGCAACTCACCTCTAATGACCAAATAAATAATAGCAACAGCAACAATAAAAGCTATGAATGCAAAAATCCACTTGAGAACTGCAAAAAAATAAAATAAAATTAACATTTATAATAAAATTTCCAGAGAAACCCATACTGGATATTTATTATTCATTTATCCTATATAATAAAACACTAATATGCAAATTGACTGAACGGCAGAACGACCAGTTTCTATGATATGCACTGACCACTAGACATTCAATGCAGGAGCTGTTCCCTGGTGGTCAGTGTGCTCCCACAGGGGGAGCACCACTCAGCCAGAAGGTGGGCTCCTGGCTGGCAAGCAGCGGCAGTAGTGGGAGTTTCTCCTGTCTCTGAGGCAGCACTAAGGACCCCTTGGGGGATGTCCAAGTGGGCCTAAGCCGGCAGTCGGACATCCCCCAAGGGGTCCCAGACTGTGAGAGGGCACAGGCCAGGCTGAGGGACCCCCCACCCCACCCCCCAGTACACGATTGTCATGCATTGGGCCTCTAGTTCTTCCATAATATTCGGTCCAGAAGTTCTCATTAAAAGTATCTACCTCTTGTTGTTTTTTCTTGAAGGGTTTCTATTCTGAAAGAGCTTCATTTAAAACCAGTCTTTGCAGGTGACACTCATCATGATCTCTGCTAATCAAATTGATAATCATTGGGCTTGGTGGCAAAAAATAATGCAGAGAAGATATTCAAGTAGAATCTATGGATGTTTCATGATTATTTCTGGTATTACATTTTTCATTGTTCATAAATGGATGGCCATTTATGAAAGATACTGGAAGTCACAGAAAATCACCATGATCCAACTAGAATTATCGAGGCATTTCATTAAGAATCAAATTGATGCCTCAGTAAGGAAGAAACCGATGGACACCACCTCAGGATGATCTTAAATCTGGATGCCTTTGGGCCTTTTAAAAGTGCACTGGGGGGTGGGGGAAGGGGGTCCCTCAGCCTGGCCTGTGCCCTCTCACAGTCTGGGACCCCTTGGGGGATGTCCGACTGCCGGCTTAGGCCCACTTGGACATCCCCCAAGGGGTCCTTAGTGATGCCTCAGAGACAGGAGAAACTCCCACTACTGCCGCTGCTTGCCAGCCAGGAGCCCACCTTCTGGCTGAGTGGTGCTCCCCCTGTGGGAGCACACTGACCATTTTTAAATAGAAATAAATTTGGGCTTCACAAACTTAACACAAAAAGTTATCTAATTCTTAAAGTAGTAAAAGATAAAATGGCCTTACAGAGTGCAAAGAAGGTAAGTGGCAATGATTGCTAGAGCAGTTCAGATGTATGAGGGGTGAGGAGATCACTTAGATTTGGAAGGCAGGAGGAAAGGCAAGGTTATTTCCAAAGCTGGAAATAGTGTGAATGGGGATCGTAATCAAGAAAGTATAAGGGTCATCAATAGGACTATGATCAGACAAATGTCTATAACATATGTACAAACTTATAAACATCAAACATTGGAGAGGGCAGTTATAAGGTCACATGACAGAAGAACTTAAGTATAGGATACATTTTTTATATACTGTAAGCAATAAGGAGAAGAAGTTGAATGTGTTATGGCCGTACGAGTACATTAACACACTAAAACATTTATAAACTAAAATATAAAAGATGATAAGATTTTTCAAAATGCAAAATGCCGAATATCTGATGTGAAAAAAAGAAATAACTGACATACATATTACAGATACTGAAATAGTAATGTCAGCGTAGACAGTTACAAACAAAAGAGAAGAAAGCAAACTAAGCCTAAACCAGGAAACAGTTTCCCACTCACCTGGGGAAAAACCCGGCATCCTGCAGGCAGGAAAACAGCGTTGCAGCCCAATGAGGTGTGAGCTGGGTGGCATGGACCCAGGAAGACGAAACAGCGAGGAAGGAAGAGCCAACTCTTTCACTGGGAGGAAGAAGCCAATGAGGCAGCAGAAGGAGCCAAAATGGTGATCATCAAATGGAGAGCGCACTGGCCCGGGAAAGTCTAGGAAAGAGATTGGATCGTTTGAAAGAAAGCCTATTCTTCCCGCCCTGCTTCGCCCCGCCCTGCCCCAAAGAAGGAAATACATGGCGAATGGAAGCTTAGCCGGGACCTTGAGGTAGCCACTACCTTATAGCCTGCCTGCTCTCTGCCTCTCCGAGTGTGTACTGTCACTCTGAGTGGTCACCTTTTGCTCTAATAAATCTTGCCACTACCACTAAACTTCTTTGTGAGTGTCCCTGGAATTCTTTTCCTGAAACACCACTGACGAACCACAGCTTCCGGTAACATTAATTAAAATAGAGTAAATCTACGAAACTTTCAAGTAATAGCTAATGCTTGTACTATACATCATGCTCCAGAAAATAGCAAAAAACAAACAAAACATGACATCTGCAAGAGAGGGCATGTGCTCAATCACGTAGGAATACCTTTATTCACGTTAGCCAGATGTGAGCTGTTTCTTCCTATCCTTCGGCTCTGCAGGTTGAGACAGGGAAAGCAATCTTGTTTATAGAATGGGACAGATCTGTGGTCACCAACTTCTTATCTGTAAAGGAACTTTTAAAAAACATTTATATTGGGATGTAATACACATACCATGAAATTCACTCCAACTGTCTTCATCCACCAGCTTGTGCCCTCTCTTGCAGGTATAATACTCTACACGTTCTCCTAAATCTCTTATTACTTTACAGAAATGCTGCCCCCACCTCACTTACTTTAGTAGTTTTCCTCTCTAAGTAGATTGTCAGCATTCTTAAGCTGTCCTGTGTTTGTTTTTTTGTTTTTCACTCACCCAGTGAAACTTACTTATCCAAGGTTCTAGCCTGTTGGTACTAGTTCTGAAATGATGGCAGTACGAAAAAAGTACATTACTAACATAAGAAAACTGAATGTTAATGGACAAACAAAATAGATTCAAACTCATACTTGTTTTGATCAGAGATAAAAGTAGACGTTTTAGTTTCAGGAAGGGAAATAAAAATAGACTCATTCATAAAAAGAGTATCATGAAATCAGCAAAATATTTTTATCCTCAGGCAAGAAAAACATGCTAAGTGGAATTTTGAGTGCTACATATGGAGAGTAGGATTCATATTATTATAGGACTCCATGCTATTTCTTGGAATTATTTCTCATTTTTATAGACAACCTATACACAATCATAATAATTATACATATACCATATTCAGTCTGTGAAGGTTCAGCATTTATTACTTGTGAAACCTTTAGAAAGTTGCCTAAATTCTGTTGCTCAGTTTTCTTTTCTGTAAAATTCAGAGCAAGATTGTCCTTCCCTTGTATAAATATTACAATGATCAAATGAGATAGTACATGGAGAATGCCGAAAATGATGATGCCTGGCATCTATGTGAAATATCTATCTATCTATTTATCTATCTATCTATCTATCTATCTATCTTTCATCTACCTATCATCTATCTATCTATCTATCTATCTATCTATCTATCTATCTATCAT